GTATGCGTCAGCGACTGTGCAAACGAACTGAATTGTAATGTCTCAATGTTTGCTGATGACATAAAGATCTTGAATACCATACGAAACGAAGTTGATGAGGCGCGACTGCCGACAAATCTAGACCGCCTCGAGCAATGGTCAAACGACTGCCTTCTACCGTTCAACGTAAACAAGTGTAACTTCCTACGCGCCGGCGGAACCAGTTCTCCTAACCACACAGTCTACCGTCTGGCTGACAAACCACTGCGGGAATTTGTCGCCCAGAAGGACTTGGGCGTATGGATCACAACTTTGCTTATGCCTTCCCTACAATGTTCAAAGGTAGCCAAGTCAGTGATGTTTATTCTATACCTCGTCTAACGGGCCTTCTCTTCCTTTCATGAATACTGCTTCGCCAAGACCTTTCGAACTTTTGTGCGACCGCATCTGGAGTTTGCTATCCAAGTATGGAGACCCTGGACCGCTAAATACCTCGGCATACTCGAAAAAGTTCAACGCCTACCAATGAAACTTGTTTCTGGACAGGGGTCACTACCCTACGAAACACGATTAACTAATCTTGACCTCTTTCCTTCAAGTTGCAGAAAGCTACGTGGGAACCTGATACAAGCCTTCTTCATCGTGCACAATCAGAGCTGCTGCCTCGCATCAGGAGACTTCTTAGAGTTGGCGACTACGATTAACCTGAGTGGCCATCCACTCAAACTACGTGACTGGTGTCCGGCTAGACACACGAAAGTTCTTCTTCTCCAACAGAGTGATTGCAGCTTGGGATGCTTTGCCTGAGGATGTCGATATGTCGGGATCCGTAGACACTTTTAAACGGAGGCAAGATCAACATTGGAGCGCGCACCACAATAACGCCGGACTACAACCACCTTGATAGCCGGCATTGACAATTGATGCTACTACCAATATTAAAGTAACATATGGGTGAGTAATTTATTAATTTTGAACGACGTCTCACACCGCTGCTTGCATTCACCACGATGTCCGCAGCCTAAAATTTTTTACTTATTTTCCTGTATCATAGGTGTGCTTCAACTGTCTGCTGTATTTAATCAACAACCCAAATTCATATGCCTTTAAATGCTGTTAACGCATGAAATTCTAGGCAGAATGGAATTACCGACAAAGACAAGGGAGACTGTATTCTGTATTCACCTGTACAGTTTTTGCTATTCACCTTGTATTTCTTTCATGTTACTTCGTTTCCATTTTCTCCATATACTTCCTCTGCATGTAACCGATAGGAATTTCAAAGGTAAACACCTTCTTTCCCTGAAATACCCTGATACTGATACTGAAGGGATTATGTGCCTCCTGGGCGGAGGTTTTTGAGTTCGCTGTCGCTTATGAGGCCTCCTGCATGTAGTCTGCGTAGGCAGTCGGTCAGTTATGCCTATATTCCGTCCATGTAGTCTTTTTCTTTGTCAGCTTTCTGGAATTTCCTCTGGTCCGACAAAGTGGACCGTGTCTGATCTTTTCATTATAACTACGTCTGTCCCTTTATCTGGTCTGGTTACCAAAATATCTCTGTTACCTCTCAGCTGCTTTAACTTCTGTATGTGAGCTTTGTCAGCAGTCCCAGACTTGTCGTGTTTTTGTCCAGATATTAATGACTGCCATTCACCATTGTTTAATTTAAAGTGTTGGACACCCTCTGTGGAAATCGGCTTTAGATCGTAGGTCTGACTTCAGAGATTCTCGAACTCTGTTTCTAGGTTTAGCTGATTGACTTGCGATGTTGAGAAAGGAGACGCCTTTGTGGTTATCACAGAACTGCCAGTTCCCCTTTGCTTATGTATGTGTATAGTGATTATTTGCTCGGAATCTGAGTATGTGTACCTATAGCCACATCTCCTGGAGCCGTGAAGTTAGCTTTTCCGGAGTTGTTAGTCGTTGTTCTCTTAAACACCGGTTAAGCTTGCGTCGGGTCCCGGTTTTTTCCTGATTGACAGTTAATGCATTGTTTTGATTGTCTTTTGAGGGGAAGACGACGGGTCAAGGTCGTCATCGGTGTTCATTTGAGGATGCGGTTGCTGGTTTCTTCGGGAACCGTGGACGAGTGGTTTTAGACGCCCCGAAAGTACGCAGCCCAGCGCTCGAGGATCTGTGACCTCCGTCAGTTGGGGTTCTCCATCTGGACTCAGAAGTGGCGCAGTCCTGCAGCCTCTTTTTCTCCGAGAGTCTGACAGAGTGCTTCGTCGGTATCACCAAACCCGTCCTGAATCAGTTAATGTGCGCCACTGAGTCCGGAGAGTAGTTTTTTTCCGTTAGGTCTTAAAGCTGCAACGGGTCGAGTGTCACGCGCTGACTAAAATACAGTCGGAACTCAGCCGCGTCAACTAATACAGCATTTTACCTACCTGATTACTTCTTGCGTCGTCGTTGCTTGCGGCTTTACATTTTTGGCCTCATAGTTAAGATGATGAAGCGGCGGTCGGTACAAAAGCCCACAACACACTGCCTCCGGCGTTTGCAGTTGTTTCAGGTTGGAGTTCATGCAGCCGCTAAAATAAAATAGCGTTCAGCCCTATCAAGTTTTGCAGTATTTAACTTACCTGATATTAGCTTGCGGTCGCCTGCGGGATTGCAGTTGGAGCCTCATTTTGGAAATAAAAAGGCGATGATCCGTTCAGCAGTCGATACAAACCACCGCTCTTGTCACTAGCGCGTCCAGCTGGTCACGCCTCCGGACAAATAAGTAACCCAGCAGCCGCCATTGACTCGAGCGAGAATTCATTCACGTCGTCTCCTCCCTACTTGGAAAGCAGAAGAAGGTGCCGATCGGGAGAAGACCGTATTCCGTGCAGGTATGCATGAGGAGGAGACCATTGCTGTTGCAGCTGTCAGTTCGACCGTCGCATCCGACAACGTCCACCGTGTTCTCTACAGCAAGTTGAAGCAGGCACGGTGACTTGCGCGTGAATTATTTTCTAGTGAGTGTGTTCATGCGCTGCATCTACTGCACTCTTTCCTCCCTACCCGAGCCCGGTGTCAAGACGTAGTCAAGAGGACCGGAGGTAGGGCGCAGGTAACCGGCACGGCCGGATCCGCACCTAGGTGTATCACCACTAATTCTGGTTCACTGCAAACGCTTTACCAGGATTTTAACCAACAACGGCACCTCAACGGATCAGAAAGTTGACGAAGATGACTAGGTAGCCATGCACACGACCTGCATACGCATCGGCAGCGCAAGCACATCTACCGACGGGGAACCAAGTGTCGGGAACTGCCAGCGCATACCAGGCTGAGAGGGTCACGGTTTGCTGATACGGGCATAGTAGACGATTACAAACCTTTAGGCCCAGAAGGGTGGCACGTGGCCCTGCGTATGCCTGGGCCGTTACCCTTCAAGGCTAGGTAACTAAACAGTCGTCGGCCGGAAGGCACTAACCATGAAACACACACACACACACACACACACACACACACACACACACACACACGACAGTTCGACCGTCGATTTCGACGATGTCCACCGTGTGCCCCACAGCTGCATTGTGGGAGCAGGGACGGTGACTTACGCAGGGGTTTATAGTGCCAGTAGACTTGCGTAGCATCTACCTACACTCTCTCCTCCTCCCCCGCCTGGGCCCGGTGTCAAGACAGAGTCAAGAAGACCGGAGACGGGGGAGGCCGCAGGTGGATGGCTCGGACGTATCCTCACCTTGGCGTTCCACCACACCCCCTGGTCCACACAACAATAGCCAGGATTTTGACCACAAAACAATGGGGTGGCGGCAGTGGTCCAGTTGAGCGACGAATGCCGACAACAGGGTCCGCCAGCGTACCCCGCAAATGTAGGCATTTGTTACTGCGCACAGATAACGCCTGCCAGAGTCCGATGTGGCCCCCGTGTTGGTCCAGCGCATCTATCACGTGGCCCGTTTTGAGGACACACACACACACACACACACACGACAGTTCGACCGTCGATTTCGACGATGTCCACCGTGTGCCCCGCAGCAGGTGGGAGCAGGGACGGTGACTTGCGCAGGGGTTTATAGTGCGGGTAGACTTGCGCTGCATCTACCTACACTCTCTCCTCCTCCCCCGCCTGGGCCCGGTGTCAAGACAGAGTCAAGAAGACCGGAGACGGGGGAGGTCGCAGGTGGATGGCTCGGACGGATCCTCACCTTGGCGTTCCACCACACCCCCTGGTCCACACAACAATAACCAGGATTTCAACCAACACAACAGAGATTTGGAGGCTGGCGCGGCCGAAGCCGCACCTGGGCGCGCCGCCAACGCCTGGCTCGGATCCCACACTGTGGTGAGAGTGCCATAAAGGCCACATTAAAAAGGAGCCATTGCAGCCTGACTCTCAGACAGCCTCCCGTTAAGGAGGAGGTCCAAGTTACCCCGTCAGTTGGCAACCTTCCAAGCCACGGCTTTTAGCGCACCGTGATAGCTTCAAGCGCGTGAGATTGTTTATAGTGAGGAGAAAGTGCGCTGAGTCGTCGACCCCACTCTCCCTTCCCATTCACACACCCCAGCCACTGTCCGAGCCGGTCAGTAGACTGGAGTGGGGAATGGGCGCGGTGGCTGACATGGTCGACTGACCATGCCTGCGCGCGCCACAGCACGACCTGGCCCCCCACACACACAAACACCAGGATTTCACACAACGGGGGTAGAACGGCGTGTCTCACACTTGCGTGAGAGGCCCGTGGAAGGTGCTGCTTCAGCCCATCCCCAGCCCACCAGTCCGCCACTACACACAAAACACACACAACGTGACGAACTGCGGGAACCGAGAGCGGGCCTCAATCAGCAACCTTCCTATCCACGACACTTGACGTGTCGGGATAGTCTCGGACACAAGTCACCCGTGCAGCCGAAACCGCATGGGGACCGAGTCGAGATGCACACTTCCCACTTGCGTGGGAGGCGGCAGTTGAGTGCATGAGGTGTGTGGGGGTTGATGTCTGGTGGGGTGATGGTGTTAGGAGGTAGGGAGTGAGGGAATGTGTGGTGTGACCGGCGGTTGTCTACCGCAGGTCGTCGTGGATGCGCATGTGGCCGAATAGACCCATGCGATGCGTGAAGGTGCGAGGGCAGTGTGGGCAGTGGAGGCGAGTGCGGTGGGTGTAGGTTGGTGCTCCAGGCACTGGTTCGCCAGTCTCTGTGTGATGGATTAGCAAGTGACCGACCAGGCCGATGCGTGAGGTGAAGGTGCGTGGACAATGTGGGCATGAGAGGTTGGCGGTGTCGGTGTCAGCTGTAGAGGAAGCAGTGGTGTTGGTGGTGGTGGCGGTGGTGGTGGTCGGCGCGTGCGACGGTGGAGCGAGGATGGGTCTGGGCGTGGTGGATGTGTTGGATGTCGTGGCTGTATCGGAATTGTGGTCAATTCCGCTCTCGAGGATTCGCAAGTGACCGACCAGGCCGATGCGTGAAGTGAAGGTGCGGTCACAGTGAGGGCAGGTGTAGTCCTGATCCTCATCAGTGGTATCGGGAGAGGTGGGAGAGGTGACGTCGGTTGTTGTGTCGTGGTTGGCGATGTGTGAGACGGCAGCCTGAACGGCCACCGCTGGGGCAGTGGAGGAGAAGGAGGAGGATGGAAGTGGTGGTGCAGGCGGAGTGTCAGAGTTAGTTGGCGGCACAGAGGACGAGGAAACGGCGGGCTGGGGGACGATGGCTGGAGCAGTTCGAGAGGTGCAGTTGATCCGAAGATGTCCAACAAGTCCGATTCGTGCCCGGAATGTCCGTTGACATCGAGGACATGTAGGGAGAGGTTGTGCGGCGGCGTTGCGTATTGGGCGAAGCTGTGATTTGCGAGCTTCGCGTTTCGCTTTGGCGGCGGCGATGCGGTTGGCTTCGTAGATAGCAGCGCCCGTCTTCACTGTTATCCTCCATGTCGGACGATCGCGGGCGAGCTCTTCCCAGTTGGTCGGGTTGATGTGCAGGCGCTTCACGGAGGAGTTCAGGGTATCCTTGTAACGGCGAATTTGGCCTCATTGACGACGAGAACCCGTCGCGACGTCTCCGTAGAAGAGTCGTTTGGGTAGCCGCTCGTCGTCCATGCGCACCAGATGGCCGCTCCAGCGAAGCTGCATTTGTCTCAACATGGAGTAGATGCTTAGAATTCCCGTCCGTTCCAGCACTTCGGTGTCGGGGATTCGATCCTGCCAGTTCAGCCTCAGGATGCGACGGAGACAGCTGAGGTGGAAGTGGTTTAGTCGGCGTGCCTGCCTCCTGTACACCGTCCAGGTCTCCGCTCCGTACAGTAACGTCGGCAGGATGACGGCCTTGTACATCTTCAGCTTTGTGCTCAGTTGGAGACCATGACGATTCCAAACTGTGCTTTGGAGGCGACCGAAGGCTTGACTGGATTTCGAGATCCTGTTGGCGACTTCGTCATCAATCTTGGTGTTGCGGGAGAGCGTGCTGCCCAGGTACGGGAAGTTCTCTACCACTTGCAGGTGAGTCCCATTCACGTTGATTTACGGCGCGTTGGGGGCTGTGACTGAGTTGGATCGCGGATGGTGCATCACCACCGTCTTCTGCGTGTTGATAACCAGCCCAAAGTTCTCGCAGGCGGCGGCGAATTGGTCCATGCTCCGTTGCATCTCCGCTTCGGAGGTGATGTTCAGGGCGCAGTCGTCGGCGAAGAGGAGTTCGTGCACGGTGGCTGTGGATACACGCGATTGGAAGTTCATGCGCCGGTGATTCAGGAGACGACCGTCCGTCCTGTAGGCGATGCGGATCCCGGGGCGTTCAGCGCGGTAGGCGTCCATCAGCATGGCAGAGAACATGAGACTGAAGAGGGTAGGCGCCAGCACGCAGCCCTGCTTCACGCCGTTGGTCACTGCGAATGCCTCTGAGACAGCTCCGTTGTCCGTGACTCGCGCCATCATACCGTCGTGCAGCTGACGCACCATCTGAGTGAATCGCTCCGGACAGCCGAATTTCTGCATGATCTTCCACAGTCCTTCACGATTCACCGTGTCGAAGGCTTTCGTCAGGTCCACGAAGGTAGAGTACAGGTGGGTCCGCATCTTCTGGCACTTCTCCTGATGTTGGCGGGCGGCGAAGATCATATCCGTGGTCCCACGATGACGACGGAAGCCGCATTGGCTTTCCGGCAGAAGGCCCTGTTCCAGATGGTTATTGAGGCGGTTGAGAAGGATGCGGGCGAAGATCTTCCCGGTGATGTTCAGTAGGGAGATGCCGCGGTGATTGTCGCAGACTTGGCGATTCCCTTTGCGCTTGTATAGGTGCACGATAGTTGCGTCCTTGAAATCTTGCGGGACTTCACCTTGACGCCACATCTCCTGGAAGAGCGCAGTCAGGTGATCCATCAGTTAGGGACCTCCGTGCTTGTAGACCTCAGCAGGGATTGCGTCCGATCCGGGTGCTTTCCCTCAGAAGAGCTGCTGCACGGCCTTGATCGTTTCCTGGAGAGATGGCGGGAGGTCGAGGTCCACGTTGGTCTCCACTTGCGGCAAGCGGGCGATGGCGGCGTCGGAGATGACGGAAGGGCGGTTGAGGACGCCTCGGAAGTGCTCGGACCATCGCTGTAGGATTTGCGTCTTCTCAGTCAGGAGAGTGCTGCCGTCGGCGCTGAGGAGAGGAGCAGTGCCCTTCGTCGGCGGACCGTCTAAAGCTTTGATCGCGGAGAAGAAGTTCTTCCATTCGTTGCGGTCCGCGTAGCCTTGGATCTCCTCAGCTTTGCGAGCAGTTCAGGCGTCCTGCATCTCGCGCAGTCGTTGCTGAAGCTGTCGGCGACTGCGGTAGAAGGCAGCTTTGTTGTCCTCAGTGGGGTGATCTACGTAGGCTTTGTGTAGGCGGTTCTTCTCTGCAAGCAGATTTCTGATGGCGGCGTCGTTGTCGTCGAACCAGTCCTGGTGTTGGCGCGGAGCGCGACCGAGGACGGCGAGCGCCGTCGACTGGACCGTGTCTCGCAGTTGACACCAGCGGTTCTCCACGGAGGCGTTCTCGGCAGCGTCGGCGGCGGCGTCGTCGGCGGCAGCAGCGATAGGAAGGTTGTCTAGCCGTTGAGCTAGCTCATTGCTGAAATGGAGACGGTGAGCAGGCAAAGACAACAAAGCAACATTCAGCTTACCTGGGGGTCGCTTACCTTGTGGTCTCCTGCGAGGCTGTAGGCGAATACGCATCTTCGAGATGACGAGGCGATGGTCGGTCCACCCGTCAGCAACCGCGATCGCCTTCGTCACCAGCACGTCCCGCTGATCTCGCCTCCGGACGAGGACATAGTCCAGCAGGTGCCACTGATGCGACCGAGGATGCTTTCAGGTGGCCTTCTCTCGCTCCGGCAGACAGAAGAACGTGTTCGTCAGGATGAGGCGGTGTTCTGCGCAGGTGCTGAGGAGAAGCAGGCCGTTGTCGTTGGAGCCGCGGAGACCGTGGGGACCCAGCACTCCCCTCCAGGCAGTATGGTCTGTGCCGACGCGGGCGTTGAAGTCACCAAGGACAATCAACTTGTCCGCCTTCGACACAGTCGCCAAGAGGGCATGCAGGTCCTCGTAGAATTTGTCTTTGACGGCGTCGGGGCTGGTAATCGGCGGAGCGTAGGCGCTGATGATGGTGGCGAACTTGCCTCCTCGCCGGAGAGGCAGACGGAGGCTCATTAGGCGGTCGTTGATTCCCTGCGGCAAACAGGGTAGTCGTCCCACGATGTCGGTCCGGATGGCGAAGGCGACACCCGCGTCTTGTCGCTCTGCCCTGGGTCGACCACTCCAGAAGAAGGTGTAGCCGGCACCCACCTCCTACAGTTGGCCTTGTTCGGAGAATCGGGTCTCGCTGAGTGCGGCGATGTCCACCTTGTAGCGCGCCAGTTCTCGTGCCACTAGCGCCGTCCTCCGTTCGGGTCGGTTGCTCCTCTGGTTGTCTAAAAGGGAACGAACATTCCAGGCTGCCAGAGTGAGCGGGCTCACCCTGTCAGTCTGGTGACAACGAGTGGGGCGACGGGAAGGAGATTGAGAAGATGACGAAGGAGAAGAATAGACAGAAGAATAGACGGAGGTAGAGGAAGAAGAGGTAGGATGAGGAGAATGAGTATGGTTGTTGTTTTTATAATTGGTATTGTTGTTGTTTCGATTTTGATTGTCTCGACCGTGTTGATGGCATCTGCGGCCTTGGCTGGCCTGCAGACGTCGTGGTGCCCAGCATTTTTTAGACCACCTTTTCTAGGCCCTTCCCCTCGTGTGGGCAGGCAGTGCCGTCCCTGAATCGGTCTGCCCATGTGCCTGGTTGGCGCGACCGAATCCCACTATGGGGCCACGACTTTTATGTTCGTAGTGGAGAACGACCGCATGTGCCGTGAGTCCGCGGTCTATGTCGGCGAGGGTGGACGCGTCTCAGCGAAGGCAATGCAGAGACCCGTCCCGGCAGCAGTTTTCCAACGGCGTACCAGGCAGAGCCTCGTCTCGACGATGCCGGCGCAGTGTTTCATCCGACCATCCATCCAGCGGAGTCCGCGATACGCTGTGCACTCGGCACAAGTGCACAGCGCCCACACCTGGTTTAGCCCACCGGTCGAGATGGTTGCCCGGGGTGTGGCTGCTGAGCAGAGCCCAGCTACGTGGAGCCACAGGTGAGAGTTGGGTGCCAGCTAATGGACGCTAGCTGTAGTCTCACCTGCAAGCAAGTGAGCGACCACTACGACCTTCACGTGAACCCACCGCTGGACACCCCTACACCCCACACACACACACACACACACACACACACACACACACACACACACACACACACACACACGCAAAATAGTTCGACCGTCGAGTTCGACGATGTCGACCGTGTGCTCCACTGAAAGGTGAGAGCAGGGACGGTGATTTGCGCGTGAATTATTTTAAAGTGATAGTAGACTTGCGCTGCATTCACTGCCCTCTCTCCTCCCCATTTCCTACATGGACCCGGTGTCAAATCAGATTCAAAAAGACCGGGGTGTGGAGTGCGCAGGTGACTGGCGCGGCCGGAACTGCGCCCAGGCGTGCCACCACACCCTCTGGTCCACACAGAAAATTATTAGGTTTTTGACCGACAACAACAGCAGAAGTAACAACAGCAACAACATCCCAACAGGGGCCAGAGCAACAAGGATGGCTGGGCAGCCATGCCCATCACCCGCGTACCCAACGGGAGCGCAAGCGTATCTGTCGGCAGGGAACCAGGTTTCGGAAACTGCTAGCGCATATTAGGCTGCGATGGCCATTGTTTGCTGATAATGGCAGAGCACACGCTTAGAGCCTTGTGACCTAGAAGGGCGACACGTGGTCCTACGTATAGCCTTAAACGTTAACTAACCAAACAGTCTTCGACCGAATCTTTGATTGAGAGGCACTACCCATAGAGTACACACACTCTCCCCACATACATGAGAGTGTCACAGATCGTTGGAGAGGCAGCCGCTTCAGGCTGGCTCTCAGCCCACCAGTCCGCTACTTCACATAAACACACAACTGGACGGACGGCGGGGACTGAGTTGGGGCGTCAGTCGGCTGCCTTCCGAGTCACGGCGCTTGACGCACCGCGGCAGTCTCAGACTCCGGTCACGCATGCAGCTGGGAGGTCGCATAGAGAAGGAGCCGAGACGCATGCTTCCCACTTGCGCGAGAGATGGCGGTTGGGCGTTTGATGTGGGTGATATTGATATGCGGTGAGATGCTGGTGGGGGAGGATGTGGTGGTGTGACGCAGCCGGCGGTGGTCTACCGCAGGTTTCCGTGGTCGTGCATGTGGCCTAATAGACCCATGTGGTGAATGAATGTGCGAGTACACTGTGGACAGTGGAGGCGGATGCGGCGAGTGTAGGCTGGTGCTCCAGGCACTGGTCCGCCAGTCTCTGTGCGGTGGATTGGAAAGTGATTGACCAGGCCGATGCGTGAGGTGAATGTACGGGGACAGTGTAGACATGAGAAGTCGGCGGTGTCGGTGTCAACTTCGGTGGTGGTGGTGGTGGTGGTAGTGGATGCTCTTGGGCGATGGGGTGTTGGTTGGCTGAGCATAGTGGGAGTGCAAGATGTACTGAGTGTGGAGGAGCTGGTGGCGGTGGGTGCGCTTGTCCGCGGAGCGTGGGCGGGGCTAGGCGTGGTGGGTGTGCTATAGGTGCTAGGTGTGTCAGGGCTGCTGTCAATTCCGCTCTCGTGGATACGCATTTGGACGAATAGGCCCACGCGGCACATGAATGTGGTAGGGCAGTGTGGACGGCGGAGGCGAATGCGGTGGGTGTAGATTGGTACTCCAGGCCTTGGTTCGCTAATCTTTGTGCGATGGATTCGCAAGTTACCGACCAGGCCGATGTTTGAGGCGATGGTGCGGCCGCAATGAAGGCAGGTATAGACAGAGTCCTCACCACTGGTGTCGACGGTGGTGTTGGTGTTTTTTGGTGTGTCAGGATTGTTTGTCATGTTGATGTGCGTGGCAAACGCCACAGCGACAGACCTTGAAGCAGTGGGGGAGGAGGAGGAGGAGGAGGAGGAGGATGGAAATGGTGGTTCGGCAGGACGGTCAGATTTAGTTGAGGGCGAAGAAGACAAGGGAGAGGTGGACGGAGGGGTGACGGTTGGTGCACTCTGGGTGCTGAAGTTGGTCCGATGGTGTCAAACAAGCCCATTTGGTGCCCAGAATGTACGCTGGCACCGTGGACACGTTGGAAGCGGTTGTGCGTTGGCATTGCGAGGTGAGCGCAGCTGAGATTTGCGGGCTTCTCGATTGGCTTTCGCGGCGGTTATGCGGTTGACTTCGAAGATTGCTGCGTCTGTCTTCACTGTCCTCCTCCAGGTTGGTTTCGAGTGAGGTCTTCCCATTTGGCCGGGTTGATCTGCAGACACTTCAGAGAGGTCTTCAAAGTATCCTTGTATCGACGTATTTGGCCCCCTTGGCGGCGGGAACCCATGGCAACATCTCCATAGAAGAGTTGTTTGGGTAGCCGCTCGTTGTCAATCCGCACGAGATGGCCGCTCCAACGCTGCTCCAGTTGTCTCAGCATGGTGTGGATGCTGAGAATTCCCGTCCGCTCTAGAACGTCACTGTCGGGGATCCGGTCCTGCCATCTCAGCTTCAGTATCAGCCGAAGACAGCTGGCGTGGAATGGATTGAGTCTTCGCGCCTGCTTCTTGTAGACGTTCCAGGTCTCCGCTCCATGTACATCTTCAGCTTCTTGTTGAGGTGGAGACCGTGACGGTTCGAGATGTTGTTCTGCAGACGGCCGAAGACCTGGCTGGTTTTCGAAACGTGGCGGGCCACTTAGTCGTCGATTTTGGTGCTGCAGGAGAGGGTGCTTCCCAGATACGTGAAGCTGTCCACCACTCGCAGTTGGGTTACGTTCACGCTGATTTGCGGCGCATTGGGGGCTGTCTTGGGCGGCGGTTGGTGTATGACCACCGTCTTCTCCGTGTTGATGACCAGACCGAAGATTTCGCAGGCGGCGGAAAAGAGGACCACGCTCCGTTGAATGTCTTCTTCCGAGGTGGTGTTGAGGGCGCAGTCGTCGGCGAAGAGAAGTTCATGGACAGTGGCTGTGGACACGCGCGATTGGAAGTGCATCCGCCGTTGATTGAGGAGGTGGCCGTCCGTCCTGTAGACGATGCGGATCCCAGGGCGTTCGTCACGATAGGTGTCCATCAGTGGGGCGGAGAACATGAGACTGAAGAGGGTAGACGGAAGAACACTACCGTGCTTCACTACGTTGGCCACTGCAAGTGCCTCTGAGACGGCTCCATTGTCGGTAACCCGCGCCATCATGCCATAGTGGAGCTGACACACCATCTAAGTGAACCATTCAGAACGGCCAAATCTCTGCATGATTTTCCACAGTCCTTCGCGATTCACCGTATCGAAGGCTTTTGTCCGACCCACGAAGGTAAAGTAGATGAGGGTCCGCATCTTCTGACACTTCTCCTGCATTTGTTGGGCGGCGAAGATCACGCCCGTGGTTCCGTGATGACGGCGGAAGTCGCACTGGCTTTCCGGCAAAAAGCCCTGTTCCAGATGGTTGTTCAGACGGTTGGGAAAGATGTGAGCGAATACTTTCCCTGCGATGATTAACGGGGAGATGCCTCGGTGATTGTCGCCGAGCTGGTGATTACCTTCCTGCTTCTAGAGGTGGACGATTATGGCGTCCTTGAAATCCTGTGGAACTTCTCCTTGACGCCACATCTCCTGGAAGAGCGTCATCAGATGGCCTATGAGTTGTGGGGCAACGTGCTTGTGGATCTCAGCGGGAATCGCGTTCGATCCTGGCACTTTCCAGCCGGAGAGCTGCACGGACCTGATGGTTTCTTGGAGAGGTAGCGGGGGGTCGAGATCGGTGTTGGTCTCCGCTTGAGACAGACGGGTGATGGCGGCGTCAAACGCACACACCGCAAATGCGTGAGATTGTTACAGACCAGTTAAGACGGATCCGTGACGGCCTGGCTCTTGGTCCACCAGTCCGCCATTCCACACACGCACACCTAACTGGGCAGACTGTGTGGACTGAATTTGGGCCTCAATCGGGAGCCTTCCATGGCAGCGCACTTGGCGCACCGACTCGGTGACAATCAAGCACTCCCTGCCAGTCGACGTTGTCTGTGCCGAAGCGGGTATTGAAGGTGCTGAGGACAATCAGTTTATCTTCTTTCGTCAGCTTCACGACAAGGGTTTACAGGTGTTTGTAGAGATTGTTTACATCATATGAACTTCGCATCTGGACTGGGGGGAGGGGGAAAGAACTTAGACGCCGACGAAGGTAATGAATTTGCCTCCGAGGTTAGGCTAGCGCAGAGTTACGAGAGAATCGTTGAGGCCCTGCGGCGGACAGTCGAGGCGCCTAAATTGTCGCCCTTGATAGCAAGCGCGACTACGGCCCCCTGTTGCATTCTCACTGGACGTTCACTACAGAAGTGTGTGTGCGCGGCGTCCACGTCCTCTAGTTGTCCTTCTTCGCAGAATTGAGTCTTGCTGGCATCTGCGATGGCAGCTTTTTAGTGAGCCACTTCTGGGACGTCCAGAACTCTGGCAGCCTGTGGGGAGGAATGGGGTTGGGTGTTTTGCATATTGCTTCGACTGCGTGTTTTGCATCGAAAAGACACAGCCAGACTGTTTAAATATCCAGCGTTTGTTAAGAACACTTCCTAACCTCTTCCCTATCCCCGAGAGGAGAAGCAGTGCAACCCCCTAGCTGGGCTGATGAATCATCCTAGACGGCTGACGAATTCCACTATGGGTCAGGACGTTCATTTACTGGGAAGATGAATTGAATTACTCAGGGCCGCCTGGGGTATTGCATGTAACCCGCTCCGTAAGACCAGCCCCTTTGAGGATGGGGAGGAAGTTTGGAAATTGATCGAGGGACTACCAAGAGTCAGAAGACACACACACGCCAGACAACCTCATCTGGTTTAACCCACTGGTCATTGACGGTTACCAGGCTGACTAGCACTTGCTACATACGAGGTCATGCCTGTTCCAACAGCCCTAGAAGGTGTCGAGAATGATATTTTTGTGTGGCGAACTCGTTGGATGCGTATCTCCGACAATACTCCCCGTGGATACAAATCTCTGTAACGACCATCCAACCGCATTGGCGAAACTGGCGTGACCGTGCATCCCATAAACCCTTTAGCGTTGTTCACATACTGCTGTTTATCTCTCTACTTTGATATATGGGTCTCTTGTCTCTGCAAATAAGCTTTTCGCCCGTTTCAAGTTCTTTTGTGGCCTATCAAGCGAGATGGAGCGCAACGTTTCTCATACTCAGATGTGAGGAAAGTTTAGTTTTTTTGCTTTTGCCAGTATTTTCGGTTAATTCCTAATTCGTGTCAGCCTTGTTAGTATTTTCTGGACATCGAGTTGTCTGATGCACCCATTGCACTAACTTGCCTAATCCCCTGCCCACTGTCCCGCTGTTTATCCAGGTGCTTGGATTTGGTCCCAAAGAAATATGTTGCTGCCCAGGAATCTACGTTTTCTGCCTAAGCCTCTCCGTTGTCTAGCCTGGTTTTCGGTCAAACTTTGGTAGCGAATGCCAAAGAAAGAGACGAATTACGATAACTCGTATGATAATGGATTCAGCCCCAATTAGGGGTCTTAATCTCAACCCTCAGATGAGTAATCCATGTCTCTACGCAATGAATCCATTAGTGCTGATTTTTCTGTTGCAGACTATTAACAAGCATGTTAATAGAGGAGGCAGCAATGCATTTTTTAGAAAAACCAACACCTGATTCATAGTCATCTAAGCATATGTTTATAGAATTCAGCAGCACAAGAGAAGAATCGTCGTCCTAAGCTGTTTTGTGCACTAGATGGTCTTTACGCAAGGAGTGCTCAGAGTCTTCTTTATTGTTATGGGTTGAACTTCGAAATCAACCTAGATGTGCAGGAATTCAATTCATTGGTAGTACCCACTTCGGGACGCCGTCAGTAAAAAAGCCAAAAAATGCACTCGGTGGGCGGTTATTCAAAAATTTGATAATTAAATGCGAAGCTTGGCTTTGCTATAAGCAGTCAAAACAAGCACTAAAGCCCAGCTTAGGGGAAGTGCGCGCTAAACTTTTGCAAGCCTTCTACGATCGGAGAGAATAGCGCACATCTTCCCTTGTGTATGCTTGAGAAAAAAGCTTTTTCGTCACTTTTTGACCATAAAGTCTGAAATATTTGCACGTGTTCATCAGGTCATACTCCATCAGAAATAGGAGGTTTCTGTCATCGCTGGCTATTTCGGCCTCCTCCAGCCAAACAAGAGCTGAACCCTCTGCTGCAGTGGCCCTTTTTTCAGGATCAACTTCAAGGAACTTGCACAAGTGTTCCTTAATCTTAGGGCCACAAAAGGAAAGTATTGGATGAGAAAAGGCCCGTTCCAGCCTTGATTCGACGGGTTTCCCGAGATCATCGAATGTCTCGTACTGAAAATAATTGATTCCAGTAAGTGCGATCAGAGCTATTGCACCAATGCTCCAGACGTCCATAGCGGTTGTGCCAAATAATTCACTGTCATCCTCAGGGTTTGGAGCGCTTTTTGGCGGTTCGTACTGAGTCTTCACCAAGTCCCTGATAACTTCCGGGGCAGCGCAACTTATACAGCTGAGCATAGGATCGTTTAGGAGATGAGAGATTTCCTTTTTCACGCTCAGATCCGGCAGCACTACAAGAGAATGCGGGGATATTGTTTGAAATAAAATATTAGTTGGCTTAAGGGAACCGTGTGTGTAGCCCTTCCCGTGGAGGAAATGAAATGCCTGAAACAATCCGTGGATAATCAAGAAAACATCTCGAAAACGTAAGTGCTGCTGCTGAAGCATCCAGTTAAACATGTCACCAAAAAGGCACATTTCTGATATCACCACCAACCGCGTCGGTTCGAGAACGAAATCCAACATTTTCATTACTGCCGGATGTGAAAGAGCCTTAATCCTTGCCACCTGTTTCCGAACCTTGCTGGTTAATCGCCTCTGAAGCTGGATGACCTCCGAGAAGCAGTTGCCTAGTTGTGCAAAATCAATCTTCTTGACAGCCACAGCGGCTCCTGAAGTGAGGTCTCGAGCCGCGATGACCGTACTAAAGCCATCAAAATAAATTTCTCGGTAGACGAGTAATTTTTCCTCATCGAAAGCCGGTGCAGCGAGAGCCAAGTTTCCGTTCGAATTTTCATCGCGGCTCACAATGAATGGCATGCTGCATAAAAAATATTTTACTAAAAATGATGAATTTGGAGCAATCAATAATATCACGTGAGGCCCGCTTTAAATTCTTGAAGACGCAAAGGACAGTATCTGACATCTTTGTGTGTCTAAGATCAGAATGGCCAGTAGTTTCTCGGAATTCGGCGTAACAGCATTGAAGAGCGTACTTTGCGGGTGCCAGACCTATATGTGAATTTAATCAAGAAAGCTGGTGCAAATTTGCATTTTCAATTTCCTCCTAAGCCAACTAACGCACAATTTAGCAGACTCTCACTCTCTCTCTGCATGTATACATACTTTTCATTCAGGCGATCAAAGCCGAAAATAAGTGGTCTTTGATCTCTCTTTTTATTTTAAGTACTAGGAATTTGTATATTTGGTGAAAGTTCGGGCAGGAATTATTAACTTGCATCCTGTCCGCAGTATTTGGATGGCACCCTTCTGACCTTGATTTATAGTCTAAGCTTTATTATGTGTTAAACTGATTACGATCATTAAATTCCGTTAGCCAAGATAGGCGATTCGGTCGGATCTGGTTGTGTAGCCCCACCTGAAGTAAACAAACACCAGTCACTTCTAATACGGGAGCGGTGGTAATAGGGGTTTTTACAGGTGGGGTCGGGAACGCAGAGGCGACGAGGTCAAGTAGTTGTATGCAAAAGAAAAGTTATTGGGAGTGCGTGGTTGTACTTTGGTTGAGAAGTAGTTGCCCTAATCCTAACCCATAACCATAACCCCTTATCCTAAACCCTAACTCCTAACCCTAAGCCCTAACCATAACCCCTAACCATAACCATTAACCCTAACCCCCTACCCCTAACCCCAGTCCCAACACGACTGTGTCCATCGGGTGGGGCTACCGAACCACATCTTATCGGCAATTCGAAATGAAGCCGTCAGGTGGAGCTTTATTTTAAGTTTTGAAAAGTTTACGAAGATGGAACTTAAGTCTTAAGAAACGTAAGCTGTTGTGTGACTATAAACGTAACTGTCAAAATGGAAAGAACTCCTAGGGACTTTCGAGATGTCGCAAATATTACAGAGGATCGCCTTGTCATGAAAGGCTAATTTCAGGTGTCCCGCTGCATAAGGGAAACTGGGAAGAAATTGGAGATGAAACGGTGAGGGCTAACTATCTATGGGCCTTTCTTGCTTAGGTGCACGTGAAAAAGGAGAAATTTGGGACGATATTCCTAATGCGTAAGAATTTCTGACCCAAGAAGCCAGTGCGTTTCATGCTTACCTGAAAACCTATTCGAAGATGTACTCCAACGAATAAACGTCACGACCAAGGACATCAGAATGAAGAAGGGAATCGATCTGGAATAGAAACTCTAGTCTCTTCTCTGACTCACCAACGTGATCGGCATGCCTAAAAGGCTTGTTAATCTTGCATAAAGGAGTCTAACATCCGTCGTAATAAGCATCCTGTCTAAGGGAATAAAGTTCAGTCATACCGGTGCTGCACCTACAGACTTCCTAGCCAATCTTAAATACTTCCTGACCTACGCCGTCCCTGAAAACACGAGTGCGGACATGTACAGCTGTGCCACTGGTCTTCTTCGACAAAGGAAACATCAAGATTTACCCATCGAAGAAGGAAAGGGGTTGCGATCACTGAAACCACAAGTGGAACAACGGTAGCACTATGATGAATGCCTGTGGCAGTCCGCGTTTCCTTGTTCTTCGCCGCTTTGTCTATCTGTCCTTCTGACCGTCTCACGCCCCCAGTCGATCCGCTGCTAGGACCGCGCGAGACTGGTCACCAGCCTCGTGAGTGCTCGTGGCCAATCAACACTGCCCTTCCCTGCTTGGCTGGCGGACACACGCGCTGGGGTCTAGGCACCTCAACAGCAGACACAGGCAACACAACTTGCCTGGAGAGACCGCTCACGGGGACTGCTTGCAGAGCCCTTGTTTACACACTTCCTTGGCAGTAAAAGTTGTCCAACGCAATCTGTCTTCCCTGACTTCCAATTTGGGAACCTCTGTCGTGTCGACCATACCGTCCCGACACAACTGTCATCATGGACAGGACTGACTACGTCAGCAAGGCAAACCAAATCTTCGATGAAAGGAAAGCCTACGTACCACTCGCTGTAGACCCAGCGAAAAAGCAGGTCGCGGCTATAAAGAAGAAGGCAAATGAGCTTGCTCAATTGAAGAACATAAGTCCCAATTACTGCATATTCATGGGTCTCGGCGACTCCCCTGTCGTACACGCGTACTGTCTTCCAAAGGAGCACCAGGCGGATGTGTCATTGGGGATCCCCTACTTACGACCTCGTCGGATGGTAATACAGGCACCTAAAATACCTTACTCGTGGATCGCAATACAGTTTCAAAAAATCTCAGACATTCATACAGAAGATCCAAGGCCTTAAAGTACGTCCTGACGAATGTATTACATCGTTCGATGTTAATGCCCTTTTTTTCTCAATAACGCATGACTTAACTATTAAGAGCGTGGCCTGACGCATAGAAGAAAACCCTATAGGAATTCCATGTTTTTTAAGCATGTTTAAGCTCTGCCTCGAGAACAACTGTCAATTCGATGGCAAGTACTATCAACATAATCCTGATCGAGTGTTTGTTGTGAACCAGGGGATGTGGTGGCACGCCTAGGTGCGGATCCGGCCGCGCCAGTTACCTGCGCCTTCCGTCACCTCCGGTCGTTTTGACTACGTGTTGATACCGGGTTCAGGTAGGAAGAAGAGAGTGTGGTAGATGCTGTGCAAGTGTGCGCTCGCTAGGAAATAATTCACGCTCAAGTCACCGTTCCTGCTTCACCTTGCTGCAGAGCACACCGTAGTTATCGTCGGATGCCACTGTCGAACTTTGGCCAACAACAAATCAACGGCACCCAAATGGGTTCACTAAATATCGGGCTACTTGCAGAACTAGCCTTACATCGACTAGAAAATGATGTTATGCAAACTTTCAAGTCGAAAAGGTGTCTCCGCTACGTAAATGAAATATTCGTTTCCGTAAAGACTCGCTAAGTTGAGAAACTACACCAGAGCCTGCATTGTGTCTTCCCAGCTATACAGTTTACCCAAGGAGGCAACAAGAGACACCCTCCTGTTTTTAGACGCAACCCGTGTCCCGCAACCAGTGTCCTTCGAAAATACTAATGCCGAAATCATCCTGGACTATGAAAGAAAGTACCCTGCGGCCCATGAAATAAGTTGTGTCCGGATTTTCTCCATCGGGCCCTTTGTCATTGCAGTAGCGATGATCCATTTATGAAAAAATACCGACACACTTATATCGGTTACTTTCGTCCAACGGATATCCAATTAGCTATGTAAAAAATTGTCTCGGATGGCAGGGATAGCCACAAGGTCTCAGTTCTAGTTGAGATAAAGCGCCGCGGAAATCCTGTCCCCTGCTCTACATGCAGAAAATTTCTAGAACAATCTCTCAACAGTTGAAGCGCTTTGGTAGCTCCATCGCCTACAAGCCAGCATCCTCTTTACACGCAAAATTATGTCGCGTAAAGGACCTCATACCCAAAAAGCAAACAACCAATGTTACTTGCTGCATCCCGTGCGCTAACTGCGCTTGCGTTTATGTTGGCAATATCGACCGACGTTTCAGGACTCGCATTAATGAGCATGATCTAGTCCTCCTCCGAAGTGATCCATTGTTCCTGATGTTTGCGAACACCCTTGAATGTGACCACCGCCTCAAATAGGAACAATACTGAAGTAATCGCCATGACTAACGCCAAACAGTCACGAGTATTTATTGAACCTTGACACTCTAACACGACCAACATCAAACGCCCCGTCTCTCTGGACGCTCACGTCGAGGGTTTACGTGCACGGTCCACCGGCTTGTGCCCACCGCCCAATAGTTGGTAGTCCCTACTCGGCTACGCAGAATCTTACTGTTTCGCCACCTGCGTCCTCCGACGTGATTGACCACAACCGAAACTCCTAACACCACCAACACCGGCTGACTGACCCCTGACCTCACTCCACCTCAACGACCACAAATCCAGCCGCTCTCATTCCCACTGGTCCGCCTCCAGCACAGGAAGCCGTAAGAGTTCTCCCTTTCCTCCCTTCCCGCTCAAAATACTCATTGTAAGTCAGTGCGCACCCCTCCTACGCACCAGCTCTGTCAGACGCTACCTATCCGGTCGCGCCAACCGATCTAATCTGTCGGTCTCGCCTCCTCCTTTTTTATTTCTTTTGACGACGGGTTGGCGTCACCAAGTTGGGAATTCACTAGTGCGACTTAATTTTCCGAAGAGCCCTCTCTCTGTCATTATATCATCCCGCGATCGGTGAGCACCCTCCACCATTTTATATACCCGATCGCAGGCGACAGGACGAAGAGCTCATAGCTCAATGGTTAGGACGGATATCTAACCGACAGGTCGTGGGATCGAACCACATGTGTTGCAAAACCTGGACTTGCGTATGGCTGGCCAGTGGCGACTAACAAACCAGAAACGGCCATTCCAGTCTCACTTGCGTTTGCCAATAATGCCGTTCCACATATAATATGTACGTATATAATGATAAAGGGTAAGGGTACATATAAAAAGGATATGCATGGCCGATTCGCCATGCATATATACAGTCTGCCCCACCCTAATAAAGCCACTCACTGTGACTTCAGTTAGGCAGTTTTAAGTAAATAAAGACCATACAACTTTCGCCCTTAGTGTTTGCCGGAAGTCTTTGTCAGTACTGCCATTGAAGAAGTGCGACAACGAATAACGAATGTATTTGGCGGACGAACTGGGGGAGACTGTTCAAGAAGGATGGAGTGTCCTGGGAACGCGATTGGCCGCAGTGGTTGAGGTGACGTGAAAGCCTCCGTCTGAATCTTACCATACTCATGCACGGCTGTCAGGAGGGATCCACACAGACCTGGTACAACCCGATAAACGTATGTCGTGAACAAGTGTAACCACTTCTTTTGACCCAACGCACTTAGAGCACAGTCCACCTAGCGGGGCAGGGATGTGATTAGTG